CCCCAAAACCCCAAAACCCCAAAACCCCAAAACCCCTTCCTCAAGGATTTATATTGCAATATTTGCTTGATAAAGAAATGGTCCATGGCTCAGACTTTCTAGCTCATTTTTATAATATCGCATGATTTAAACGAAGTTATTCTCAAACAGCCTCATATTTTTTATCTCAACTCTTGTGCTTTCTGCTTCTTTACGTTTATCCTTCTTGCCTAGAGTGATATTATGAGTATCTTTCTCTTCTTCTATTCTCCCTTGGTCTTCTTTTTCATTCTTAATTTCATTGACCCTCTGGCTTCTCGTCTCGATCTGCTCGACAATAAAGTTCTTGGAGAACCCCTTCTTGCTGAGATTAAAGCTCGTATTCTCACTGTTCTGTTTCGATCGATATAGACTAATTTGGTTAATAATATTTATTGGTATAATTAACAACATAACTATCATTAAAATCCAAATATATTTCAATCTTCAGTCCAAACCTAAGTTCTTTCCAGCTAACAACCCTAGGTGACATTCCACCTCTAAGACTCATTCCCTAATTTACCAGTACCTTTTGCCAGCGACGACAGAAATCTACATGAAATCCCTAAATTTTATAGTACAAAAAGGTACTTTTTGAGCTGATCTTTGGTATTCTTGCAGCTTTTAGGAACAAGTGAGCAGACTTCGAACGAATTTGTCTTATTTGTGACCAGGATTAGGATGCCTAGAGGATGAAGAGGAATGTACTTTGTGAGGATTTTGATAATTTTAGGGTTTTTGAAGGGCTGAGGCTCATATGGGTTGTCTCTGAAACTTTTGGTGAGGGAAGAAGAGTAGAGAAAAGGAGGAAGGAGGAAATGAGGGATTATGAGGGTTTAAAGGGGAAAATGATACTTTTAACGTGGTCTTGGGATTTTGAGATTGAAAAATGGGTAGAATCGAGGTAGTCCGAGTTTAGAAGGATTAAAAAATTTTGGAGAAAGGAAAGTTGGAAATTTTGGATAGTCTTAAGTGCTAAATATAGCTGATTTACTAAAAGATCTTCAAAATGACTCTTATATTCTTTATCTTCCATAATCTTTCTATGAGAAACTATCTTACAATTTATTCTCAATACAAATAGGGAGGTCAATCGGATCTTTAACGCCCATCAAATATACCATCCCTAAAAGCAAATATCTAATTTTCAGGCCTAGCATAGATTTAATCCTTATTTCCAAAGTATCATATTCCTCAAAAACCATACCTTGTAACATCATTATTAGGCTGCAGAAGTGTCTCAAATGTTGGATGTGACCTAAAACATCACTACAATATAGTACGCTTCGTTATTTTTGGCACTCTTCTTGTTAGTTGATTCTTTATCAGAGTCTATATTTTGAATGACTTAAGATTTTGGTGCTTAAAATATTTCATACAAATCGTTCGTATTTAGCTAAAATTCAAAAGCTGAGTAGAATCCTTTATAAAGTTATGGCTTACCGCCAGAGGATCTTTCGTCATTCTTAGGGGTCACTCTGTTATTTTCTATACGTAAGATAAGCCGTTGTAGCACACAGAAGGTATAAGCAAAGGAGGTAGCTTACTTCTGAATTTGAATGAATTTTGGCCTCTGGTTTTCTCAAGGTCTGTCATCTCCTTAGTCAGGGTAAACTTCTTCTGGTTATCGGCTGCATAAGGCTCTATCATACGATTGATTTCTAAATATTAGCTAATCTTGTGCTTACTGGTCTTCCTTCATAGTTGCATTTTTAGATTATGACAAAATCCTTGCTTAAAAGGATTGTTGCCGTGCCTGTACAGCCTCTTGAGATTCTCAAAAGTAGTCTCACCACGGATTATGAGTGCGTAATGATAGCAAGTAAGCCCTACCGGGAATATACCTATCAGGATATTGTAGATGATAACCAGCAAATTTGTAATATTTTGCACCATAATTGAGTCTGATGACCCATCACTCTCAGCGAAAGTCTTGATACTGACAACAATTGGAATGAACAAACTTACTCATAAGGATGAAATAAAGATTATGAAGAAGTGGTAGTTCCTCTTTCCAATTCATGTACTAATCCAGGGGCAGTGGTGATCAAATGTTTCAACACAGTTCCCGCAATAGTTGCAATGGACTGCCCTTGGAGGCCTTATGATCAAACAAGTGTTTCAATATGCCTGATATATTAATTTCCCTTTATAATTTATCAAAGTTTTCTTAGATTTTTGACGGGCCTCGCTAATCTTAAACAGATAAGTTGGATCCAATTCTCATTTCGGAATAATGCCAGGATTTCTGGTTGCAGTAATCACCATGAAGATGAGAGAGGTAGCATGGAAAATAGCTGTTATCAGAGTAATAATGATCTGCTCTGTTTGATTTTCAATCTTTGTAACAATGACAGAATAGAATATCACCATTGGGATATTAGTCAATAAGAATGTCATAAGTATTGCTAGTGGTTTGGGGCCAGTTAGGAATTTCCCCTTACATCAGAATCTACTGTTGCCATCATACATGCTGTACCTCTTAAAAATTTCTGGCAAAGAGAAACTATTATCCTAAAACTATAAAGCTAGAGAGCTTACTTGTTTTGTCTCTTTATTTTCTTTTATTCTTTTATCAAAATCATAGGTTTTATTTATTTTCGAAATTCTTAAAGCTATCTCTTTGATCTATCTCATCATCAAGCCTATCTTGTTCTGTCAAGAAGTTATTTGCTGATATTTCACTTTGATCTACACTGTAGCTACCTTAATCTTACCTCTTTCCAATGTTTTCGGGCGTTCCATTTTGAAAATGATTTCAAATATAATAAGTTCATTCTAAATTTCTCAATTAGGGGTTTTGGGGTTTTGGGGTTTTGGGGTTTTGGGG